GCTCGCACTGTCGGCTTACGAGGGAGAAAATGAAATTTGATCTTCTTTCCTTTCACTCTCCTTGTCGAGCAACCCACAGCACAACAGTGATCATTCTGACCCATCCCCGGTTGCTACAAATAAATAACTGTACCAAAGGGAAGGAAACACACGTCTAAGGTAAAAAGGAGAAACAACCTGTCACTCTGCCCCGAAAAATCGATTCAAACATCCGTGTTCTCCAGAGCCACCTCGGGAACGGATCCCCGGAGGCGACTTTGGCAACCCGTCTATGCAGCTGCCCGCAATATTCAAATAGGGCTTTCAAACGCAAGATAATAACGTGAAGCAACTTGGAAGAATGGGTATGAATGCGAAGTGTATGGGGGAATGCATGTAGGGCGATAGTAGGCCTTGACAGATTATGCTAATATTTTCGTGAAATTATGCTTTTCGCATTGCTGACAAAATTGCAGAATTATGCTATTTTTATGCTAAAAGTTATCATATTGTGCCGCATTATGCTCACATATGCTGCTAATGTATAATGGTTCTGTGCAAAATAACAGGGGAATTTTTGTAGAGGGCGTTGTACTGTAGTAGCAAAAGTTCAACGGGCTCAACGCACCGTCCGACCTAGTATAGCTACGACCGTCGCGTCACTGATTGTAGTGGACTGGACATGTTATCAAGGGAGTCGTAAACCTACAACTTTCTGGTGCATCTACTTATACTTATAGAACATGTACAACTGTATGGAATTTGATGCGAACAGGCGGATTATTCCAATTTTATGCGATTCGTATGCAATTTGCCTCGAATTATGCGATTATTCGATTTTGGTAGGAATTATGCGAAAATTTATGCTAGCATAATCTGTCAAGGCCTAGGCGATAGTGCGGGTTCGAATACCAGGATATGCCTGAAAAAATAGGAGAATTGAAAAATTTATAACATCCTATGCTTTTTTTGCCGCCAGAATAATAATGGGAAATTAGAGGCCACATGCCACGTACTGCTCTTTTCTCTCCGAAACTCAACACTTGCAAGCCAGATATGAAAGAAAGTGTTGTGAACCCTCTGGTTCTCTGAAGTATCAGGAACGAACGACCCCACACGGCACGAGGACAACTATTATTCTCAGTATATTTCACTTCCATCGACTAACAACAATGAAATGAATGGACAACTGAATGAACTGAACTAACTGAATAACTAACACTAAAACCACCAGGTAGTTATAGCGTGAAAATGACAGCGTATATGAGAAAAGCATACACATACAACATACAACTACAGCGCACTCAGCAAACCGCACATAGCGCATGTAGCGTATACTACGTCGTAAACATCAACGGTACGGCGGAGTCGGAATACAACTGCATTGGAACGAACACAATGTCACAAGCGAGAAGGCCTTTCACTCTCGAGAACTTGTGGTTTCACAACATTCTCCCCACCAAAGGGCTTCTCACCGCCGTACAACAACTCACAAGTCAAACGATTTGGAGCTTACAACGCGTCATCTTCTGCTACGGTGGTGGCCATGGTAGAATATCACTAATGCCCACCAATTCAGAAAACTCGACATCGCGAAGCTTGCCGCTGTGGACTGTCGCACACGACACTGTCACCGATCCACTTCGACATGGGGTAGACGCTGGACCAGACAACACACCACCGATAATGTCATAAAGCTCGACGATGTGGGCTGTCACACACGACATGGTCACCGGTACACTGCTTCGACCCGGGGCGGGCGCGGAATCCGAGGACACACATCGGATCTCTGTGTTCCACACAGTCTCGCCGCTTACTTCTTCCGTGCTAACCAGTAGTATCGCCCTTCTTATTTTCTCGGCTTCTACGCCTTGCGTTTCTAAGTCTTGCGCCTCCAACTCTTGCGCCTCCAACTCTTGCGCCTCCAACTCTTGCGCCTCCAACTCTTGCGCCTCCAACTCTTGCGCCTCCAACTCTTGCGCCTCCAACTCTTGCGCCTCCAACTCTTGCGCCTCCAACTCTTGCGCCTCCAACTCTTGCGCCTCCAACTCTTGCGCCTCCAACTCTTGCGCCTCCAACTCTTGCGCCTCCAACTCTTGCGCCTCCAACTCTTGCGCCTCCAACTCTTGCGCCTCCAACTCTTGCGCCTCCAACTCTTGCGCCTCCAACTCGTTCGGCCGAGACTCCAGCTGCTTCTGAGCGTCTCCGACCGATGTCGCCATGCACTGTACCGACCCAGTGGGCCTCGGATCTGATCCTCCCACTGGCTTCGAATACTCTTCTGACCGCTGCTTGTCTGTAAGCAAAGTCTTACACGCCTTGTCCGGCGTCCTTCTGGGCGAGGCAAGCAAATCTCGCTTTGCTTCGTCATAATATGTACTGACGGCGATGCGCTCGTCCATCTTCTTGAGCTTTTCGTTAAACTCTGTGCGGAGCGCACCCTCTTGCCGTCTAGCACTGTGCTCTTCAAACTCCTCGCGCTGTCGGAGCCTCTTCTCCACGTATTCTCTCAACCTATCGCCTTCAAATCCATACCGAATTCCGTTGGCGATAAAGCTGGCTTCAATGATCCATAGTTCCTGTGCCATGCTCGCTTCGTATCCTGGCGTGGTCGCCAAATGTTGTGAACCCTCTGGTTCTCTAAAGTATCAGGAACGAACGACCCCACACGGCACGAGGACAACTATTATTCTCAGTATATTTCACTTCCATCGACTAACAACAATGAAATGAATGGACAACTGAATGAACTGAACTAACTGAATAACTAACACTAAAACCACCAGGTAGTTATAGCGTGAAAATGACAGCGTATATGAGAAAAGCATACACATACAACATACAACTACAGCGCACTCAGCAAACCGCACATAGCGCATGTAGCGTATACTACGTCGTAAACATCAACGGTACGGCGGAGTCGGAATACAACTGCATTGGAACGAACACAATGTCACAAGCGAGAAGGCCTTTCACTCTCGAGAACTTGTGGTTTCACAACAGAAAGAAAAAATCATCAGTCACACCACCGGGACTCGAACCCAGTACCTGATGTGATATGATGCTCATGTCTTATCACGTGACTATTACGTCATATATTTTGCCTGTGTATTACGTCACAACCAGCATGCGCCATCTTGGACTAGTCGCCTGAAGTGCATGCTTGGCTTGACCTGGTTCAGTAGACGTCGGCGGATAATGCTCGAAAATCCCACGGATTATGCTTTTCAGTATGCTGGCAATATGCTCTGCAAATCACTAAATTATGCTCAAATTATGCTTCTTGACACTGTGCTCTTTCATGTTTATAATGCCATTAAAATGTATAGAATGTGTACTCGGGATCAAGTGTGGACTTCCTGAGAAAACTGCATGGAAGATCTTGTCTCAGCTATGGATAAGGAACCAGGATACAGCTACTTCTATATACAGGTTTTTTCCAACCCGCCCTGGAACACGCCACCTCGGCCTGGTCCTATGCCATCACCAAAGCTGAGCTGGAGCGTTTAAATATTTTACAAGCCAGAGTAGCTAGGAAGTATTTGCTACGTAAAAAAGTCAATGTAAATAGATGCGAAACGAAATCCCAGTTAAACGCCCTTTGTGACTTAGAGTCCTTGCACTTTCGCAGACAATTATCAGCTCTTGTTACTCTATTTAAACTTATACATATATCTCCAGAACACCTCCACCATTTTCACCTTTCATTGTCTTCAAGTCCAAGAAGACCAAACGAACTTAACATCAATTATCAGTTTATCACGGTAGGCGTTTTTTCTTCCCTCTTTCCCAACAAAGCTGCAATGCTATGGAATTGCCTACCGCCTTCTCTTACCTCTATAACCAGCCTCCCATGATTCAAGCATTCTCTCTATCAGCATTTTCGCCGATATATTCATTACACTGACGGTATCCCAACTCAGTCCTTAATCACCCGATTTTGTATGCTTCGATCTATTGCCTTAGCCTATCCTCGATTAACTGCTCCCTCTACATAACGTTGTCATTTCATTCTTCTTGCAGGAGATCCCCTCGACAGGCCCAAAGCCTTTGGGAAATCCTTAAAGTTAAATATAGAAAAAAACAAATACATGTAGGCACTGCAACATCAATACAAGCATAATTATGTACAACTCTGGACGGTGAACTTTTTGACCTTTGACGCCCTAAACATTAGACATCTGTTACATTAATTTTACAGTGTAGATCAGGCCCTTTCACCGAGCCGTGCCAGATATATACCGTGGTATGGTACGACTCCCTGCCGAGTCCCGGGTGTAGATTGGAAAGGCTTTCTGTCCAAAGCCTTTCCGTACTGGTGCTCGATGTTTTCAGTTTGGGAACACCAAGTGTACCGCTAAAGACACGTGGTCGACACGTTGTTGGCAAGTTGTTGACACTTTGTTGACACGTGACCCAATTACCGGCCTACCAAGTGCCTTTGGCGACCGCTAACAGCAACTGTGGAACAGTGCAGTGCCCTTTTTTGGAGCAACGTACGAGTAGTGCCCGTGGATTATGACCCCGCGACCCCAATCTACGTGGCGGTCCGCAATTCGCTACTTCATACTGACTGGCGTCCGGCATCGTCCCGAATTTGGCCGCAATCTGCTCTCGGGACCCCTATAGGGCTCCCTGACCTGCTCCATCTCCGCCATGCATCGTCAATGTACTGCGCATCCACCCAGGCCAGGACTGCACTTACTTACGGGAAGGAGTATTAGTCCAGCGGCCCAAACTTCAAAAAGAATTTCCGTTTCAGTCTCAAGCAGACAACCTGGGTTCTTCACTACGGCCTAAAGAATGTATACCTGACCTGGATTCCGCTTGTTGTCATCTTCAGAGTTAGGGCAGAAGCTCAGGAGAAGCCAATTTATCCGCTCTCGTCGGCGATACTGCGCACCATCTGGGGGTGCACACTTCACGGAAAGGAGCGCCTTTTTCAAATTTTTGAAGATGACGACGACACCGACAAGATACTCTTTGAAATGTAGAATTGCATTTTCGTTTGGTAGTTGCATAGTAGTTGCGTTTCGCGCTGTTTGAGTGCCTCCTGCCCACCGCTCGCAGCATGGTAGACACCTTTTGACATGATGGAGGAAGAGGCCGTGGAGCTTCTTAGGCCTCGTCCTGGGAATGGCGTTGTATCGCGGGAATTTTGCTTGTGCCATTGCGTTCAATGCATCGCAGGAAAAGCAAACCCGATTTACTTTGCAGAGTTGGGAAACTTTGTTTGAAGCTGCTAAATGCAGGCAGGACGAGCTATACCTTCTTGTGCGAGAGCGTCCGCGGATGGTACCACCGCAAGTGCTACAGTACATACACTAACAAAACGTTGCTGGGTCGGCTGCCACTTGGACGTGGCCATGACTTTTCAAGCCATTCTGAATTGGAGGAGATACATGTATGTGATGATGGGACACCATGTACCAGCAAAGCGTAGAACAAGGAGAGATGTACAATGATTGAATCCACATCTGCAGACTTGTGCCTCATGACATGTGCATCTAGCAGAGTTGGAGAACAACGCAAGAATTTTGGCTTTCGCTCCAGAATGGCCCAGATTGCGTTGCAGCGGAAATCCACTATCAACGTCGGAGCATGCTACAGTGCCTTCACCCACCTGGCCACTATGCACCGGCAACGAAGTGGCAAAGGGAGTGACCAGCCGTCGGCCTACGAAACATTTGACAGCCTGGTGCTGTATATACTGTCCGAGTTGAAGTCTGCAAGGGCCTTGCCCATGAAGCTTCTCACGGATAAGTACAATAACTGCAAACGGCACCAGCTTGGCCGACCATCACACTCCGCCTTAGTATCCAACTTTCATGCTGAAAAAGAAGATAATGAGCTACTTGGGGACCAGGTGAGTTCTTGGCATTGTTGAATGTGTAGAAATAATTTGATTATGTTTTGTTGTTTGGTCATGACCAAGGAAATCCAAATAACACATACGCTCAACTACAAGATCACATGATTGCATGTACACACCAGATCATGAGTTCAGACTCAACTCATGCACAGCAACTAAAAGCCGCTAAGTTCATTTCACACGCGCGCTCGGGAAACGGCACATGCTGCATGCATAACATAACACGATGCGCTTCTATCATGAATGTCTGGGTGGCCAAGGAATGCCACAATGTGTATGTAGACGTGAACACTACAGTGCCTGACATCTACAACATAGGAATGTATTATATGGAATGCAAGTGTTCATGCTCATGTAATGTGGTAGTCTTCTTTGGTTGAATTACGTTCGTGGCTGTTACACGTATTATTACGACCAGCTTGGCTCTCGCGCTACTTCACACGGTACACATGTAGGTCAGAATAAATCAGGGCTTGTGGTCCGAGTCAGAGTAATGTCCAAAGCTGACGTCAGTATTCTAGGCTGACTTTATGCAAGAAGAGACAGAATTATAAACTGGTTGTTTTCTAAACACAATTGTATAGCCCGTGATAACGCGGACATGCGAACTTGACTTGTTTAAGGATCGAATTTCATTGGCGTGTTTCATTTGCGTTTGTGTTTGAACTGTGTGTTTCCTTCAGCAATTGACATGTATGGTAAGTGGCATGGGTATACAGGCGCACTCTTCACGGAGCAACCACTTGTCTGTGTCGTCTGCAAACGGTCCGATGGCCGGTAATACCCAGTCATTGCCGAACAGTCATACTAGTAACGCACCTGGCCCGGCTCCAACCATCCCAGTCCAGCCGGTCGCCGCAGATTTCCTGCCCGCATTCACGTCCACTGCGCACCCCAGTGTCCGGCAAGAGAACGGGCCCAATGCCAGGAGTTACGACGGGCCCACTGCCAGGAATTACGATAGGCTCACTGCCAGGAGTTACGATAGGCCCGCTGCGATATCCACTGGGCTTGTCCCCGCCAATGTCGTGTTGCCCACTCATTTCGGCTTCAAAGGATCCGCTACTCCGCCGCGTCAGGTGAACACCAGTGGATCCGTTTCATCTCTGGGTACTACATTAGCCTCCAGTACAGATGTGTTGGCTAGTACGGCTTTGACTATAACCTCGGGTGCGAGGCAACCAGTGGCGGCTGCGGTGTCTTCTACAGCACCATCTCAACCACGGTCGCAGCAGGTTCTTGCTGATCTCTAGCGTGCTATGTGATGTGTGAGTGTGTGAGCGCGCGGACGCGCACACACAATGCCATGTGTTGTGCGGTGTGTGTGTGTGTGCGTGCGTGTGTGGTTTGTGTATGTGTGTGTGCGAGCGCGCGCGCGCACAATGTCATGTGTTGTGCGGTGTGTGTACGTGTGTGTGCGCGCACGCGCGCATACACACAATGCCATGATGAGGGTGAAGGCAGTTTCGATAGTGGATTGGACTGTGAATCGGACAGTGAGTCTGAAAGCTAAGGCTAGTGGACCGCACTATTGACGTTTTTGAATTGATTTGAATTTGAATTGTACTTTTCAACTCTGCAGCAAATGACAAATACACTACTGCGCTATTATTTACAACATCTTCCCTATCGCTCGTTTGCTAAGATCAGCTTATGATCGCTATCACTCTGCCGTTTTCCGGTGTCCTTTGCTTCGCTCGTGCTAGCTCTCTTCCGCTGGTGTTGTCGAGATCGTGTCCCAATAAATCATGTGAAATCCTCTCATACGAAAGATCCATGTTTGGGGGTGATTTTGGTCGAATTTTACAACAAATCAATCTGTGCCATCTCTAATCACCATCAATAGGAAATGAACGCTCGGCAAAGGGCAACCATGATCTACGAATCATCGAAATACAAGAACAAATTCACATCGACTGCACTAATTTTCAATAAAATATCGTATCGCATGCTGCCAATTTCAATCAAGGAGTCGTAAAATAACGTAAAATAACGACTTCCGTAACGAAACCTAAAATTGGTTCTCCCCAGCTTATGCCCTAGTTCTGGACATGACAACAAGCCGTTTCGACATCCCTAGGACATGGTCTTTCCACCCATGCAAAGCTCAGGTTGTCTGCTTGAGACTGAAACGGGACTTGCAAAACAACGTCTTTTAGATTTGGGCCGCAGGACTATATTTGCAAGATGGAACCTGGGAACTGGAAGACGACGAAGAAGAAGCGTGGGAATCCGGCGGCAATGGCTGGGATGTAAGTCCAACATTGCTGGTGCTAGAGTTGCCACTGCTTGCTTTAATATAAGGGAATCATGTGTGTTGCCTTTTGCCTTTTCCGACGTCCTCCTCCGACTGTACTCCTGATCCCAGGACTGAACTTACGGGAAGGAGTGCTTCCAAGATGGAAGACCAAGAAGAAGAAGCCGCTGAATCCGGCGGCAATGGCTGGGGTGTAAGTCCAACAATTCTGGTGCTAGAGTTTCCACTGCTTGTTTATAAGGGATTCATGTGTGTTGCCCTTTTTTGCCTTCTCCCATGTTCTCCTCCGACTGTACTGGTGAACGCTGTGACATATGTTGCCCTTTCCAGGCAGTAGAAGGGAGGGGCGGGGGGGGGGGGGGGCAGTACATCCTGGCATCCAGGAATGCTAGGTGGAACTAGGCAATCTGACCTTTCCTTTTACTCCAATAATGGTATGGATGGGGGGTTCTTGAACATCCTCAGTCTTGTTAGAGTGAACTGTGCAACTCGGCAATCGGTGATAGCAGAGGACCAATGCCGATGGCGATGCTCCTTCCTTTTTCTCTGTCACAGGCTGCGGTCTCGAGAAGAAGCGTTATTTCTGCATTCCAAGAAGGACGGCACAATGGTGAGTGGAACTTCGTGGGTATGCAGCCTTGCTAGTTGAATTGTAAATCAACCATTCTTCCTGTCTCTGACTTCTTCAATGTCTTCCTCAGTGTCGGACTGTCCGCGTCGCATTGAACTGGTCCGATGAGGCTGCTATTGCACACACAGTGAGGGAACTCCCATACGGGAACTCGGAAGTACTGCTACAGTACAGGTAAGGTGGTCATTGCTTATGTGGGTGCGCCGTTGTTGTCAACTTTTAAGCCAGATGTACTCCGACCTACATGGAGTCTGAAAGTAGTCAGCTGGCGAACTACAATTGAAGTTTAGACGTTATATGCCGCGGCTTGGTCAGCTTTTTCAGTTTCACAATGCATTGCACTCAGCACCGCTTCTCGGAATATCTTGTCAGGATAGCTGTGGAACGCATCCTCCCCAGTGGCGGAACGGCAAATGTGCTGTTCATTTTTAGGCTTGCTTTTGTGGTACGTGCAAATCCCCATTGAAAAGACATAGTGGAGACCAGAAACTGCAAATAGATGTTGGGAACCGCGAAGACCACCCTTCCTCGTCAAGTTCCCTGAGGGTGTGGAGGGGGGGGGGGGGAGCGGAGGAGGGACATTCCTGCACTGCTTAAAGTAGGATTCACAGGAGCATTTTCAGAAATTGTTTGTACATTTGTACCAGTTGTAACCGACAAACGCATTCTCATTGAGCTTTGACTTGAGGCACGTCAGCAAGGCACTGTTGCATCGCTGACGTCTTGTCGTGATTCTGTGAATGGTATTTTGTGCGAGTTTGCATCGCACGCAGAATCGCAGGTCGTGTCGCATTGCGCAGCACACTGCCAAATTGCTTCTGTGAATCCCACGTGAATGTGAATTCCAATGGGAATGTAATCCATTGCCAACAGGTGTATTCCCGAGCTGTGCATCATACTGCAAAATTGCTCCTGTGCATGCGAGTTTGCATCGCACGCAGAATCGCAGGTCGTGTTGCATTGCGCAGCACACTGTCAAATCGCTTCTGTGAATCCCACGTGAATGGGAATTCCAATGGGAATGTAATCCATTGCCAACAGGTGTATTCCCGAGCTGCGCATCGTACTGCAAAATTGCTCCTGTGCATGCGAGTTTGCATCGCACGCAGAATCGCAGGTCGTGTCGCATTGCGCAGCACACTGCCAAATTGCTTCTGTGAATCCCACGTGAATGGGAATTCCAATGGGAATGTAATCCATTGCCAACAGGTGTATTCCCGAGCTGCGCATCATACTGCAAATTGCTCCTGTGCATGCAAAT